TTCGAACTCTGCGGTATGCTAGGAGTTCGTGAATGCGAATTACTCAATGACAATGTAAATGTCTTCAGTCATAAAGGGAGTCCCAAAATTAACGCAAGATTGGAATTAAAGAGTAAACACAGTTTTTAGTCTTTCGTTCGTAATTTTTTTTATTGAATCATAAAGTACATAGGACAGGGTTATTTATGGGATAACACATAGGACAAATGGCCTCCACGGCTTTCCATACATGATTTGCTCGAATCTGCATCCATTTGTTGATTCTCAATAATCCATTCTCCAAAATTTCTTCGCTGTGCATGGTCATTAGGCTTCAGTTTTTATGTTAATTGAATTTTGTAGGCGACCGCCAAAATTTCATTATTTTCCCTCCATCCTTACTAAGCTTAAACTGTCAGCTGTTGATTTGTTTTTTTTTTAGTTGTCAAGTCTGGTTCATTACCCACTCAGCTATGCTGTTATTGTGTTCACTGTAGTACAGTGTGGCAATATTCAACATTTTGTAAATACGAAGCAAAACATAAAAAGAAGATGGGAATTGAACCAAATCGGACACCAAGCATTGGTTATCAAAACTGTGGCCTTATAGCCATATCCGATACAGTGGTCACAGCAGATATGCTGAGCTTCGTCAAATCAACAATTGTGGGTCCAGCTAAATTTTGATTTTAGTTAAATTTGGTAATTTTAACAAGTAAGGAAGTTCTAAGTTCGGGTGTAACCCGAAGGCACTTTAGTCCAGTTTGGGTTTGATTTAGACAATTTTTGATCACAAGATGGCATACTTTAAACGCATTATTCACGCAAAGCTTTACCCCGATACAATCATTATTGCTTGATTTGCATACTGGAAAGTGAAAGAATCAGATGGAATTTCAAATAGTGTGTTATAGGAAATAGGTTGTAATCCGATTTCCCCCATTTTCGCACTATAACATACAAATATGAAACCCAATTTGGTTGAAATCGGTTAAGCAGATCCCAAGATATGGGGTTTCACCAAAAAGTGGGCGGTGCCACGCCCACTGTCTATTTTTGAACGCGGTTCCTTTAAATTTAATGTCTCTGGCGTGTTTAGTGCTTGATTTATCGCGCTTTTAGTAGTTTTTAACAGTACCGTTATATGGGGAGTGGGCGGGGTTGTCACCCGATTTCTGTCGATAGAGGTGCTAAAAAGTAAATTGACTCAGTGAATTTTGTTATTGTAGCTTTAGCGGTTTAGGATATATGCCTCTCCCTAATGTGATCCTCAATACCAAATAACTTATATCTTATTGTGGAGCTTAGTTATGGCAATTTATTTGGTTTTGATTAATGTCGTTTTGTGGGCGTGGCAGTGGTCCGATTACGCCCATCTGCAATACCAAGCGTCTAACGGTACCAAGAAACATGTGTACCCAGTTTCATAAAGATATCTCAATTTTTACTCAAGTTACAGCTTGCACGGACGAACGGACGGACAGACAGTCACCTGGACTTCAACTCGTCCCTTCATCCTGAACATTTGTATATGCATAACTCTACATCTAACTCGACTAGTTTTAGTGATACAAACCACCGTTAGGTGAACAAAACTATTATACTCTGTAGCAATATCTTGCAAGAGTATAAAAAGGGAGGATTAAGTAGGGCTATAAATATGCTAACTGGTATATAAAACCACAATAAATATTGTGAAATGCAAGCAGTAAAGTAATGGATAGTTATTGTGTAAGCGTCGGCAGAAAAGTGCTCGTACCCACAGCAGCAGCAGAAAAGGAAAGATCGTAGTAAAGACAGTAAGAGTGGAGTAACAGTTTCGAAAATCAAACAAAAGCCTGCACTTGAAGCTGCATTCGTTATTTTCGTTAGCTTACGCACGCATCAACTATTTTGGTTTCTTCTTACTTTCCTCCTCAACACGTCACAAAATCGCAATGTTGACACCATGCCGTAACACACCTACTGCCACAGAAAGCTAAAAAATACGCGATATGCCCACTTATGTGCTTAGGTGCTGGATGATTAACGCCGGTGGCTGAGTATCGACACTTGATGAGCGCGCTTGGAGCTCGGCTGTTTGGGTCGCCACGACTTCGTTGAACACACAATGCCGATAATCGCGATCCGTAATATACTGCACACTTATTAGTAATGTATGTACATGACTTTGGGCACTCCGCGGCAGCAAAGCGTTGATTCAACAAATTAAGCAGCCCATCAGTCAGTTGACGGAGAACTTCGAAGCGGTGCGGATCCAACGCCCTATAGAAAATATGTGTTAAAAAACGTTTGTGCGTAATTGAAAGTGATCGAAAAACAAACACGCCATGCTACTCAAAAAGGTATGCGCAAAGCAGAGAAATTTTTCTAAAAAAAAAATTACAAACGTCGCGCGGTTTTTTCATATCTATTTGTGATAAATTTAACTGTATCTAATAGTTTCAAAAATTTCCAATGAATAATGATAACAATTCGATTGTTGTATGGCGGCGTCATACAGTTGATAAAATGTTTGCCACCAAATTTGTGTATTCGGTCGTGGAACTGATTTTAATTTATATCTACTGTGTTTGTTGTTTTTTCGCTTTCTTGTTGTTGTTGCTTACAGCTAAACATACCTACATAATCATAAGTACATATGGTATATGTTTAGGGAGCTTGTCTTGTGTTAATTGTCTCTAAATATAAACTTTATGGATATCAGCTTAGATAAATTGATTCATACATAACGGGCTTGTATATATACGAATACTCGTATAGTCGATAACGGCATTTTTTATGATTTTTCCATTTCTCGGCTCGATGTGAGAAATTTTTATGCTTACTATTTATTAGAATTAGCATATTTAGTTTAGCTGCAGCATACGATATTGTCATCTGGCAAAATATTTAATGCCTTTATAATATTTATACAAGTATATTATATTATTCATATATAATTGGCAGCAAATGTACAAATGTGATGTTTCAACTTTGTAGTTCGTCTAAAAAAGTCTTCAAAGTTAAAAAGTACTTGGGCAGTCTCCAGTTAGTTAATGTAGATCCCACCTTGTAAACAATACATTAATGTGGATATCACCCTTTTGGAGAGTGTTCGCCTACTTTAGAGCAGGCTTACTGGGTGAAGCCAACTCTTCCTCGTCTCTAGTGTGAACCACGCGAGAGAGATGTCTATTGTCTGATCTACTTCGGCGGTCTCCCAATACGAAATTTTATCACGTTACCCTCAAAGTCCAGCTTTGTTGAAAAATCAGCAATATATGTTGAATAGAAATGGCCCGCTAGAGCTGGATTTGGTTTTTTGGCGAAGTTCAATCTGTTCCTTATTATTTATTCAGTTTATCGATTGCACACTGATTAATTATTTCAATAATGTTTTGAAACGCCTCAATTCAACAATTACATGTGGTTTTTAAGAGAAAATAAAACGCATATCATTTAATGTTATCCCCAAGAATTTAGCTCTATTAAAAAAATAATGGTTTGACTTTATGTTTTGGCTCGCTCGAATAAATTTCCGCCGAGAGGCATAATTGAGGTCAGGTCAGCAATAAGCTCTCCAAAAGTTTCCTTCAATAACTTTATTGTTTCGTTAAATCGTTTGAGGGCTTGTGTGAACCAAGAGGTGATTATTTTGAATAAAATTTTGTGAACCATTCATTTAATATTTGCAATATTAAACAAAAGGAACTTATGGCAGGATTAAGTATATTATGCAGAATAAAATTGTTATAAAATCACATACGCATTTGAATATGATGATGAGGTAACTTTTTTCAAATAAATGGAGGTAATATCATTGAATATTATGTACATATGTGTTGAGGTGTAAGCGTACCGCTAACCCGACCCGAGTAGGTCTAACTATAAGAAGTTTGTTTTTCATTTGTGATTTATTTTTTCTCGCACTTTTTTGTGCTTTGCTAAACGATTTATGTATATACTCTTTGACTATAACACGATCTAATAATTCTTCTCCACAATACACATTAATATTAGAGATTAGGGCAGGATTAAAAAACTGACAAAATATGGTTGTTGCGTGTTATCTTAAACATTTCAGGATTACCTTTAATTTCGGAGAACCGTGCTTTTCTTCGTCTGATATAACTGTTATTCTTTATGCATAAGCAACAGCTTAGAGAAATGTTGATAAGGAAGCGCATTTACAATGTCGTTATTGAATTCGTTGTCAAAGAAGGTGAGAACATGCCGTTAGAGCGTAATTCAGTGATCATACTCGATTTACTCGGGGCTCATCCGTACCGTGTGGCGTTCTGAGCATAATCAATATTCTCTGATGACTTTAACAGTTCACTTGGGCTCTTAGCGTCCCAATTGACTTGCCTTCTGAAATATTGTAGTTGTTGCAATATGTTTTCACTGCTCTCAGCTGGGATTATTATTATTGCCAAACTGAGATCGGCGCCAAGTGGGCCAACAACGCAGCTATAGACGAAAAAAAGCTGAGCGGCCGCAATTAATTAGCACAGCTGTGACGCCTCGCATTGTCAGTTCGATACTAGTTGTCGTCGTGTTGTGTCGAGCGCCGCATAATTTTCCAAAATACTCGCGTTGTCGTTGTTGCGTTGTTTCGATTTACTTCTCACTGTATTTCTTTTATTTTATAGTGTTATCTGGAAAAATAATAAACGGTTCGGCAAATAAATATTGCGACCAGTATATCTAAGTGTATTTTGCTTAGGCATATATACTTGTATAAGTATATACAATATATCTATGTGCATATCACTCTAGTACAAGTGTCAAGCGAGAGTGCCTAAGTGCGGGTAAGGCATACAAAGCATTTGTTCATTTCACCTCCTACATCGCATGGCGCGCGTGTACTCGACTTATATATTCGTATAATTCCAAATATAACTCCCTCATTGTGCATTATTCCGCATAGATAATGAAACAGTTAGTATTAAGCGTATTGTGAATTGTTTTTCTAATCGTCGCACTTTGCGCGCACTGGTTTCTCTTTTTCGGTTGCTGTTCTTCCGCTCGGTGTGCAGCAGTTTGTTGCGACGCGTGTCACCAATGAAGCGGACGGTGTCCGCATACTACACATACAGAACGTCCAACCTCATCACTGCGGCGAAGTGCAATTGAGTGTGACACATTGCGGCAAGTCCAGTTCGACACTGCGCGCCTACACCAGTTTGGTTGTGCTGCCAGGACACACGTCCCTACAAGCCGATTTTAAAGAACCCACAAGTGCCACTGATAAGGCTATTGAAGGGCTGAATGGTTCCGAGCAGCTGGAAGTACCTGTTTGCATCTTAGAGGGTCCACAGGATTGCACCGCTCTCATTGGTGGTAGCGTTAAGTTGCGCGTCTGCTACGAGGCTGTGCCGCGTGCTCAAGTCTGCTGGTACAAAGGGGTAAGTGTCACACGCATTTTAAACCGTTTATATTTTTTTCTATTAACATTCATAATAACAACCCACTGCAGGCGCTTAATTTTTCTTTATATAATTATTTTACGGCGCTGGTTTTGCCATAAAAGTATCTAGCGGTGCCCGGTTGGTGGTTGGGCAGACAACTGACGTTGGCGCACCTTTAAAGGTTACTTGACTTTAAACCAGAACGTAAATTACAAAATGCGTCATTGTAGGCGACAATAATAAAGCCGACTTTAGTAATTTACCGCATAAGGTTTTGTGAGAAATTGTATTTTATTGCGGTTTAGTTCTTCAGAATTTCTCTAATATTTTGTAAACCTTTGAAATTTGGGAATGAGAGCATGTTTATATAAATGAAAGTTATCGAATGGCAGTCATTTTATGACCTCATCATTAAACTATATAATTATTGAAATTACCAGAGTTTTATAAAATATCCGTGGAATTACCAATTAAAATATATTTTCTGTAAATTCAGTGCAAATGAGAGGTTTACTTTAATGATTCAAATTAATGTATTAATGGTAATAATCCGTCTACAGCGGTTCGAGATTGGAATATGTGTCATGTTATATTAGTACGCCCATCTTTTATATAAACAGTGTTAGAAATTTTTCGTTGTTTTCTGTATTTATGTATTTTAATATAAATATTTATATACTAAATGGACTGAAAAATATTTGGTCTTCGGAGAGATAGCGCTAGAAATCAGTCAGAGTTTCATGACATTTTATTCAACCGTTATTCACCGCAAAATAATGTCACATCTTACAATTGAAACAAGAAAAAACGTTAACTTCTGTTGCACCGAAACTATAATACCCCTCACAAATACAAAATATTCCATATAAGAACTGGATTTTGATCGATCACTTTGTATGGCCGCTATATGCTGTAGTGGTCCGATAAACGAGAAGCCTCTTGGAGAAAAAATGATGTGTACAAAATTTCAGATCGATAACTCAAAAACATTGGGCTAGTTCGCGAATATATACACATAGACGGACTTGGCTAAATTGACTAAGCTTTTCATGCTGATAATTTTTATATATATTTTATAGAGGCTTTCTTCCGAGTGTTACTAACTTACCCCTAAATCATCCAACTTTTCGATATCGTTTTTATAGTTATTTGTGATATTCAACAAGTTCATTTAATGCTTTTTACTGTCATCCAAAATCACTTTCTGAAATTTTTCATAAAAAAATTATTTGTTATCAAATTTTTTCGAAACACCAAAACTTGCGGCACTCAAAATACTATATATCACGTACTAATTTCTCGATGGCTGTGAAATTTATACAAGTGTCTTACGAATGTTAGGTGTAACTGTAAAATGTATGTATTCAATTATAATGGATCCCTCTCTTTGAAATTACACAATTTTCATCATGTCTGGTCATGTGTTATTAGTAGTGAGTAAATAGAAGCTTCTACTATTTTTATTTCGGTTTATTGATTTTCTCCAAAGGCCTCTCTAAGAATTTTTGTTAAGCTATTACTCGAAGCATGTTGTCTTCCACTTCCATTTAAAGACTAAATTATTGCGGTAAAAATGCACATATTTGCATGCCTACCTACATACGCATTAAATTTGTTTTGATAGGAAAGTTCTACAGCAAAGTACTCGCCATTGATTTGCGGTTTTGTGGGGTTCATCAGTCTCAGCTTTTTTAAATACTGACGCAAGCAAATTGTTGAAAATAAATAATGCAATAATAAACAAAAGCAAAATGCCAAGACAAATGCTCAAAAATTAAAAATTTTTAGTATAAAAGAAGAAAATTGTCACGATCGGCTTGCGGTGAGGCTATGTACCTGCTCCGTCGTGGTTGCCTTAGCCTTCACATCGTCATATCAACACATGTCTTCATATATATATTTATATAAATACATAAAGCATACATATTTTCACACTCAGACATGAATATACCAACATACGTAATTACTTCGAAAACCGCAAGAACAATGTTTTTTTTTGTGGCTGTGCGCGAAACTAAGGCTTGCTCACATTTCGAAGGGCTTATTTCAGTGAAACATGGCGAACAACAAACTGGGTGAGTGGCTAACTGATGCTCACCGCGTAAGTGATTGACTGGCTAACGAGCTAATTGTCTGACTGATTTGTTGTCTTGTTAACTGTGCCCTGAGTGCCGATGTATGACAGATCGATTGATCGATCGCTTGCTGATCAGCTGTGCTGGCTGTGCCCTTGGATTCCATTCCAATGCTGTCAAATACCGATGCCAAGATATGTTGGATGCACTGCAATTCATCTACGTACATACAAAAATTCCATGTCAGTCTAACACCTTACACCGCTTCATATGAAGCCCCACATACAGTCTTATATAATATATTTATTGTTACATTTCAGCACTGAATACTAATCCTAATTAATGATTGAACATATTTTGTTGTCTCTGGAATATTTTCTTTGTAGTGCCGTCCGATAGTCGAGCAGCGCAACATTTCCATACGCAGCAGCGCTAAGCGTTCGACGCTGCTCATAACTGACATTGCGGCAGATGATAGTGGCAAGTACACGGTGGAGATCATGAACGGGTTGGGTAGCGATGCAGCGGCGGCTTCGGTGGCGGTGGAGGGTCCGCCAGATGCGCCCAGCGGCAAGCCGAGCATTTCACAAGGTCCCGATCGTATTGCGGTCGCTTGGTGTGGCCCACCCTACGATGGCGGCTGCATGATTACCGGCTTTATGTGCGTACAAACCGCAAACTACAATACAACACTGATCACTTTATACACGAATACACACATACACACATATATAGATGTTTGTATTTGTTAATGTTGTTAATCTTTTTCGTTCTTCAAAATTTCAGCATTGAAATGCAGCAGGTGCCTGCCGATCCGAATGATGAGACAGGCGAAAGCGGTTGGCACGAAATCGCTACCGTTGTAGACTCATTAGCGTATACTATTAAGAATTTGTCACCGAGCGCCACATATCGATTTCGTGTGCGCGCCAAAAATGTACATGGCTGTAGCATACCCAGTTTGCCCAGCGATCCGGTTGAGTTACAAGCCCAAGAAATCTTAACAGAAGGTAAGTGAAGCTTGCGTCATTACACATGGTGGAATAAAAGCAGTTTTCTATTTCCAATGTTGAAAAATAAGCAATTGAGAAATAAGTCTAATACTTCTTACTCAAATCGGAAAAAAAAAAATTAATTTTATATGTTTATGTTTCTTGATTACCTTGACACTATTCTTGAAATGTTTATCCGATTCTCCGGAATACATTTCCATAATTCCTTTAGAGACAAAAGGGAGCATTCCTTAAATCATGACATGCATGATATCTCCCTAGAAATCAGTTTGCGACTAGGTGTTAAATCAATGTCAAATCCTCTCATTTAAAAAAAAAAAGGAATTAAAAACCACTACCGATGAGAAGTTGGAGGTATGACGTAATGAACCATGTTGATTAAACTTCTGAAAATTTCTTAGATTTTGGGAGTAGTCTCTTCATGAAAGAATTACATTTAGTACTTGCAGTTAAGAAACTTACTCTATAACGGTTAACTGGATTAAAATTAAGAATTTCCAGTAAAACTAACTGGTCGATGCCAATGTCTTATACCACTTGCTACTGAAATTGAGCGTAATCACTTTGACTAAATACTTTTGCATATATATATATGTATAAATATGGAACCAACAACAGCTACAAACAATGTTTACTGTCGAAATTGCCGCATTCTAACTGTAAACTTGTTGATTTTTGACTATACCAAAATAGTTCTATGAAACTATTGATATATAATATTTTCTACAATATTAGGTCACCTACATTCGTGTTGTTTTTTATTTTTAGATTTCCACCGACCGATTAGTGTTAAGTCAGGTGGCGATTTCAAAAGTCGCTTTGAAATACTTGAGGAATTGGGCAAGGGTCGCTTCGGAGTCGTTTATCGGGTGCAGGAGCGTGAAGATTCAAAACAAATTCTTGCAGCTAAGGTGATTAAGTGCATTAAAGCGCAAGACCGACAAAAAGTAATGGAAGAGATTTCCATTATGAAATCATTACAACACCCGAAATTGCTGCAGCTCGCCGCTTCATTTGAGAGCGCCCGCGAAATTGTAATGGTGATGGAGTAGTAAGTCAATTAATTGCCAAATAGTTTTTTTTAAACTAACGCTTCTTTATTTGTTTCTTTGAAGTATCACTGGCGGGGAGCTCTTCGAACGTGTCGTGGCGGACGATTTTACGCTGACCGAACGCGATTGCATACTTTTTCTGCGACAAGTGTGCGAAGGTGTCGCCTACATGCACACGCAATCAATCGTGCACTTGGACCTTAAGCCGGAGAACATTATGTGCCATACACGCACCAGCCATCAAATCAAGATCATCGACTTCGGGTTGGCGCAACGTTTAAACAAGAACACACCGGTGCGCGTGCTCTTTGGAACACCCGAATTCATACCACCTGAAATAATTAGTTACGAGCCAATCGGCTTTCAGTCGGATATGTGGAGTGTGGGCGTCATCTGCTACGTGCTGTGAGTCAATTATTGATTGTTAAATATATAACTGACTCTTATGCATACTTTTTTTGTAGCTTATCTGGCTTATCGCCATTCATGGGTGATACTGATGTCGATACTTTCTCGAATATTACACGCGCTGACTATGACTTCGATGACGAAGCATTCGATTGCGTTTCACAGGAGGCAAAGGACTTCATATCGAATTTGTTGGTATATCGCAAAGAAAATCGCTTGACAGCCAAACAATGTTTGGAGTCAAAGTGGCTGACGCAGGAACATGATGAGAACCTCAGTAATAAAATTTGTACAGATAAACTAAAGAAGTTCATTATACGACGCAAGTGGCAGGTAAGGAATGTGTTTGAGATACAAAAAAACACATTATAGAAGAGAGTTTACATTGTAATAAGTAAATAGTTGGCTTTAATAATTTATCTTAAAGCATTCCTTTTAATATTTTGTATTTATTAAATTTGTATTGTTTTTTTTTTGTTTATTCAAAAACATGTTTTTTGCTTGAGAACTCAATAGTTTTCTCAAACATCTTTTTATTAACATTTCCCTTTACCTTTCCTAATTAAGTCCCATACGCGCCAGTAGACTAAAAATAATACCTTTACTCCTCAATGAAGAGTTAGCTTTGCTTTAATAATGTTTTTGCTTTGTTGTTTTTTTTGCTTTATCTTTTTTCTGTTTCAAAACCATTTTTGTTGCCTGCTTTTTGATAAAATCGCTATCATCAAAACGACCGAACGCTTTGTTTGCTTTATTATTGAACAAAAGAAAACTGGCAATGCTATACGCGCCTTGGGCCGCATGGCCACGCTTTCCGCTTCCAGACGCAACTCTGCCGTTTCCGGCGCCGGCAGTTTGCCCAATAGTCCACGACCTTCAATATCCGGAATTCATCATATGTTCAGTCCGAGTACAACCGTGCAAATGGGTTCGCTGCACGAAGAAGATGACGACTTCAGCATTGAGCTGCCGAATCAGACAACGCTGGAACAACAGCGACGCATACAAAAGACGCTGAAAGTGCGCGACAAATCGCAATGCAGTGAGCGCAGCGATTCCGGTTACAGCGAGTGCTCCAATTGCAGTGTGGGTGGAAATATGCCATGCCATTGCGCTGGCGCGTCTGCCGTGCATGTCATAGTGCAGCACAGCGCTGTGGATGATTTAAATGCGACAAATGCAGAGGCGGCGCTGTCACTGGGCGTACCGCACGATGTGCTCAAGACGAAATTGGAGGAAATTGCGCAACATGAAAACTCTACTTTTGTCGAGGAATGCAATAAGTCTGTAAGCGCTTTAGAGCAGCACATACGGCAAGTAAGTTTACAGGAATCCGAGGGAATGACAGTTAGCAAAGATAACGGAGAGTATATTGAGTCCATACGAGAGCAGCCGCAGGATGGGATTGCTGGCCAAGCAAACGTAGCCGTATCGCTCTCAATGCCACTCACATCGCCGACGCAAGTAGCGCCGTCAGAGTCAACAACAGTGTTGGCGTCATCACCACTTCGCGAACCCATAATGCGCTCGGATTTCACGAACACCATTAAGATGCGTAAGAAATCGCTGGAGAACAATGCGTTGCGGGAGAAGGTCAAACAACAACCTAAGCCGATTTTCGAAGCGGCGGGAAAAGTTTCACAGTTAAAGCACAAGTTCAATTTTGCCTCAAGCGCCGATGAAGGGAAATGTGTTAACGATAAATTGGTACCCAGTCAATCTTTACCACTGCACAAGAGAGACCACAACAAAGATGTTTTCGCCGATAAACGCTTCGCCTGCGCTAACCAAAGTACCTTTTTAAAATGCTTTTAGAGTATAAACTTTTTTAAGTGTTTTAATTTTACCAATAGCTTTTTTAATAAAATTTTTTGTTTACATTTCCCGCACAGAAAGCGCAACAAGTGCCACAACGAAAACATCGAATTCAACATTACAACAGCAACAAAAATATCAGCAAAAACAATGCTCCTCCATGCCCAACTCACCGCTGCTTGGACGCTCAGGCGCGGCGCCACGGCTAAGCGGGCGCGTACGCGAGGCAACCGAGCGCTTGTCTCAACAACAAACCGTCGCTACCAGCGCGCGACGCATGGAGGCAAGGCGTTAGGCAGCAGCAACAGTGACAGTAACGGGTTAAATAAAGGCGCGACGGTAAATGCCGAATAAATCATCGCAAACCGGTTGAGGCGCACGTGCGGGAAGACAAACATAAACCACTTTCATACACAGATTACAGTTATGGATTATACGCGTCACATGTCATAACAATAAGGGTAATACGTGACGTCGTTTTACCGGATTTGTGTTGTTGTTGCCGTCACGTTATCCTCTAGACGCCTCACATTGATGAATTTGTTAACAAATATAGACATACCTACATATATACATACATAGGTATATTTGTATGCTTGTTGTTATTGTTGAGTATTTTACTTCCCAAAACTCTCATACAAGTCAAGTTTTATTACATGTTAATACTTTTTTGTTATCATTGCTTTTGCACTATGCGCAGCATTCACATTTTAACTAAACCTACCCACACTCGAATAAGCCTACAAATATTGATGCATTACATATGACTCTTACGCGTGTTACGTACATTTACAAAATTACTTACATAATCATTAGTGAGAATTAAGTAATTTAAAAACAACGATTATATAATATCTACTAAACGAATATATTGGCCTACTCACACATATACACACATACGTCCAAGTAATCGGAGTGAATACATAACCTCTGATAGTACTTACATTTCGAATACCTTGTGCTTGTATTTGCCCCTGTTATAGGTGAAATAAAAATATTTATACAAACATATATATATTTGTGAATACCCACTAAGGATAATTGTTCTAAATATATTGTAATTATGCATTATTTACCATTACATTGTTAATGAATAGAGATTAATTGTTTAAAATTACATAACTATATATCTATACTCACCACATACAAGTAAATACATACTTATAAAAATAATAAATTATATACGTAATGTTCTTACATTTTGATTGGATCAAGGCGCTGCGTTGATTAAATTAAACATCGAAGCTCAAGGTGTCGATTTTTTACACATATACGCCGCAATCAAAGGTTAATGCAACCAACCCAATGGTCCAATTTTTGAATAATTAAGTAATTAATTATTAAATATCGACGTTGGTAACGAGTTACGATATACGAGTAGCTGAAGTAGTAGAAGTTTTGATCACCTAACGGTTGTTTGTATCACCTTAAACTAATCGAGATAGATTTAGGGTTATATATGTATATATAAATAATCAGGATTACGAGACGAGTTGAAATCCGGGAGACTGACCAAGTAAGTTGTTGTCCTAAGGCTAACCACCGCAAAGCTTTAAAGTATTTCGAAGAAGCAAACAATAGGTGACATGTGTAATGTTTACGTTAACAATTTAACTAGTGAAGATGTGCAAGCAATAAACACCGAAATCTTTTGTTTTGCACACTCTTTCAGAATGATTCATTGAAAAACAATTTTATGATATAGAGGTTGTGGAATCATTTCTTTAAGTTACTGAGGGCCAATACAGAGATTACTTATTTAAGTTATAGAGGTTGCGTATTGTAAGTTATTGAGGTTTTGGGCTCCGATGGGAAGGAAACATATACAATTTTGAAGTTAGCGAGGTTTTTAAGTCACCAAAGTTGAGTTATCGATTATTAGAAAGAAATAGAAAGAAACCCAGTCCTTTAAGTTATACGCCATTGTGACCCTCAGAGAAGATCTGTCTCCACTTCAACCGTATGCGGGCTATCTTATACCTGCTATAACAAATGAAAAACCGTCAGTCTTGAAAACTACGATCTAGTGAAAACACGTGTTTATTCTAATATGTATATCGTGCTGTTTTGAGTTTTATAATAAATACATATGTGTGAATATTGTTTTATTTGTGCTAAACTATTAGGTGAAAGTAAAGTTACTACTGTTGAACGGGGAATGAAGACATTATTTAATGCAAGTATCGAAAGAGCCGATGAATTTTCGGAATATCTTAAAAATCGGAAATCTGTGACAATATATGAAAGTTGCCGTAAAAATTATGCTAGGAAGTCTTTTATTGCTGCCGCTAATAAAAGACAACGTGAAGAACATGAAGCCATCAAGCCACATCTACAGCAAGTTCAAACACTGTGCATATTTTGTGGCCAGGAATTGAATGAAGAATATGAGAAAAAAAATCCTTATGTAGTGTACGTATGACAGTTCCAAGCAGTCAACAGAAATTTCTTGCAAATATTCACAACAATTCTAGGTTTATTTCAATGTTGAAAGAAAAGTATATAGGTAAAACAAGCAAACATTGATGGTTATGTATTGATCATTGAAACAACATCTTCTTCGCGTATATTATCAAGTTCAAGTGTGGCTTCGTAATCAGCTAGACCCTAGCTCAAACTTTACTTCCATATGCGCCGGAAAAACTTCTGAACACAATTTTTTTTAACTGCAAAAAGGGATGCAGAGCTAAATGTGGTTGCAAAAGAGTTTGGCTGATTTGTTCTGAGGTATGTACAAATTGTCAAGGCTAGTCATGCTCTACTGTTGAATCACCAACAGTGGATGATTCGTTTGATTCCAATGAGGGGACATGCGATACATCGCTATTGACGTATTTACTTGCACCCAGCATGAAGGTGAAGAACAAGAAGAAGATCAAGAAAAAGAAAAAAGTACGTGTGGCACTATTGCAAAGCATTTTTTTAACAACTTATGCAATTATAATTATTTATTTATTTTTTATGCAGTATTATTTTTTCCTTTGATATTAATTCATGTTTTTTTTATATTAATTCAAGTTACACTTTTTGAGCGTGGTGATTGATAAGAAAACAAATTTTTTTCTTTCACTGAATAAATTAGTAGTTAAGATTGTTTAAAATATTTTTATTATCTTACAATATATGGAGGTTTATAATTGAAACTATCTGGAAAATGCTGCGTCAATGGTGGTCCCATATTTTGTTGTGGATTTCTGTGAATCGTTATTCATTTTTATACTCTCGCAACATGTTGCTACAGAGTATAACAGTTTTGTTCCCCTAACGGTTGTTTGTATCATCTAAAGCTAATCGAGTTAGATATAGGGCTATGTATATATAAATGATCAGGATGAAGAGACGAGTGGAAATCCGAGTCACTGTCTGTCCGTCCGTCCGTCTGTGCAAGCTGTATCTTTCATAAAGATGGGTACACATATTTCTTGGTACCGTAAGACGGTGGGTATTGCAGATGGACGTAATCGGATCACAGCCACGCCCACAAAACGCCATTAATCAAAAACAAATAAATTGCCATAACTAAGCTCCACAATAAGACACAAGACTCTTATTTGGTACACAGGATCACATTCGCATTCGCAGTTAAATTTTTTTTCAAAAGTGGGCGTGGTCCCGCCCCTAATTTAATGTGCATATCTCCTAAACCGCTAAAGCTATAATAACAAAATTCACTGATAACAAATGTTTTTGGCACTTCTATCGACAGAAATTGGGTCACAACCTCGCCCACTTCCCATATAACGGTACTGCTAAAAACTACTATCTAAATCAAGCACTAAACACGCCAGAGACATTAAAGTTTATCTCTGAGATGGTATGGGATAACTTTATAGAAACCGTGTTCAAAATTAGACAATGGGCATAGCACCGCCCACTTTTAGGTGAAACCCCATATCTTGGGATCTGCTTAACCGATTTCAACCAAATTGGGTACAGAACATTCTTCTTATATTTCTATGTTATAGTACGAAAATTGGTGAAATCGGATCACAACCACGCCTATTTCCCATAAAACACTAGTCAAAGGAGATACTGTTCCAAAAGATGGGGTAGCTATTTACCTTTGTAATTGTATATTATTTTTGAATCACTCTGCTCTTCAATTGATTTGTTCCGTTAAATAGCCCCACTTAACGGTTATTCATTCAAAAAATTTGAACAAAAAGAACGATATAAAAAGTTTGATCATCGAATTTCACCTGCATTTGTGATAATAATAAAATGTATGTATGTATATAGAGTACTCACTTATTTTTTTTCACTATTTTTTCATGATTTTTTCATTAATAAATGCACTTTCTTTAATCATATTTAAAACACTTTATACAGAAATTTTACGCGTTCTCCCCGAACATACATTTGCCTACAAGCGTCTTTTCGCGACAATGGCAAAAGCTAAAAATCATAAATTGAACCACTTTCTGATGTTCCTTCTGGAAGGGAAAAGTGTCAACCTCGCAAACCCGCAAACACAGTAAAAAGTGACAAAAATGGCAACATAATTCTTGCAAAATCTGTGTTTTTATTTGCCATTAAAAAATTGTATCTTAAATTTATTTTTGAATCTCCCTGTTCTTCAATTGATTTGTTCCGCTTGAGATATGCGAAAATATGCCAACAAGTATGCTAACATTTTGGCTTTTGTGCGCGAATTTAAGCCTAAACTTAGAAGTCAAACTAAGGGAAACATTGCTAAATTACCAAAAGCAACAACCGATATAAAAAACTGATTGGTAAAAATTCGCTAAGCATTTATTATCAAAATGTTAGAGGTCTTAATACAAAATTAACCGACTTGTATTTAAACAGTTCCAATTTTAATTTACATATAATTGGATTTACAGAAACATGGTTAAAACCTCACATTTTTGACAATGAGATTTTAAATAGCGAATTTCAAATATTGAGATGTGATCGACTAAACAGAATCGGTGGAGGTGTTCTATTTGCCGTACATTCATCTATCCCATCTGAAGATGTTCTTGTTCCAGGAACCGACTCATTTGAATTTAAATGTATTAGAATCTATGTTAATAGTTGCTTTATTTATTTAACCCTGTTTTATATACTACCCCATTCGGTCTTATCTGTATACATGCAGCATGCTTCTACAATAAATAGTGCTACTTCGATGGCAAATAATACAGATTCAATAATCGTATTAGGAGATTACCAATTTTTCGTGTGCTTCGTGGAAAGCTTTCGATGACTATATCGTACCGATTTGCAATCGGTCATATTTTCATGAGTTTTTCGAAAAAATGTCCGAGTTGGGTCTGAACCAAATTAATATAATTCCGAATAAATTTGGTAAATGCTTAGATTTAGTATATGTTGATACCTCTTCAAAGTGTTCCGTTATTCAGAGTAATCCTCTTGTTCTACCAGGATTCGTATCATTCTGCTTTGGAAATATCTGTCGAAATCCTGAGCAATGTACGCCATAATAATTAGCAAACTTCGTGCTTCCGTACTCGGTTCAACTTTGCAAAAGCTAATTTTAAAAAGTTAAATACAGAACTTTCTACAATATCATGGCCTAATTATAGTGGTGATATTGAATTGAGTTTCTCTCATTTTAATAACATTATTACGAAATTATTTGAAAAGTACGTTCTAATAGTAATTGTTAATAAAAGTAAAAGTGGAAGTCCGGGATCGTCGAAAGAGTTACATAAATTAAAAAACAGAAAAACTCGAGCCTTTAAACATTTTATAAAAACCGGTTCATTTGTCGACTTTTCTAAATATTCCGTATTGGGTCGACAATATTTTGACCTAAACAAAAAATGTTGTAATAATTACTTAAATAAAGTAAAAAAGAATGTTGTAAGTAATCCAAAATCGTTTTATGATTTCGTCAACTCCAAACGCAGGATTTCAAAATTTCCGTCCGCGATGAAATACAAATCTATCATTTCAACTGACAATGATATTATATCCAATATGTTTGCAGAATTTTTCAAGTCAAACTACTGTAATAATTCTTCCAAAACTTTTTCTTAGCAGCACGTGCTGTATTCGAATACTTTAATTAACGCTCCAATTATTTCTGAAGAAGACGTCCTACTTAAGTTAAATAAGTTAAAACCATCTTTTAGTTACGGCCCAGACATGATACCCTCATGCTTCCTAAAAAATAGTGCCAAATATATTTACTTGCCTTTGACAAGGATTTTTAGTTCCTCTCTTAAATACGGTATATTTCCTTCAGTATGGAAACAGTCATTTATAATTCCTTTGCATAAAAGTGGATTTAGATCCAACATTGAAAACTATAGAGGTATCGCAAAACTATCAGTTATACCTAAACTTTTTGAAGCTATCATCACTGACCATATAACGTTTTCGATTTCTCCGTTAATTTCCTCATCTTAGCATGGATTTCGTAAAGGGAATTCGACTATAACAAACTTACTTGAATTTGTAAACCATGTATCATTGGGTTTTAGGGAACATAAGCATACGGATGTTATATACACAGACTTTAGCAAAGCTTTCGATAAAGTAAACCTCTCGATTCTCATACATAAACTTGATCTGCTGGGCTGATATTTGAGGATACACCTTCAGATACAATTAATGTCTTCAGTAATTGAATTCTCAAAAATTTTATTTTACGCTGACGACGTACAGCTTTTTAAATCATACACTGCGTAAGACGATGTGCTTCTCCCGTAGATCTGTGCACCCCTCTGGAGCAAGTTTTTAACTATGTTGATTTGGGAGTTAATATGGACCCTAAGCTTAATTTTTGTCTTCATATTGACACCATGTTCTTGAAAGCAAAAGCTGTCCTCAGTTTTGTTAAACGTTGGTCTAAAGAATTTAGAGATCCATATATTACTAAAACACTTTATACAACTTTAGTTAAACCTATATTGGAATATGGCTCTGTTGTATGGAACTCTAACTACCAAATCTATTCTGACAAGTTAGAGTCTGTTCAAAAACAATTTTTACTTTTCGCCTTAGCGCATTTCCGATGGGATTCTAGGGTAGGTCTACCCCCATACACTAGTCGTTTAAAACTTATTAATCTACCTATACTTTTTAGTCGTAGGGAAATGCTTGGCATAATATTCTTAGAGAAAATCTTGAATGGAACAGTTTGCAGTTCTTTTCTCCTGTCTGAAATTAAATTTAATATCCCGATTAGCTTTTCGAGGCAGTTTAGACCTTTACTGTTAAAATCCTGTAGATCAAATTTTCAACTAAACGAGCCATTCCGCCGTATATGTCATGATTTTAATTCTCATTCCAGCACATTTGACTTATCTGACTCACTTTTCTAAATTAAAAAGACTTTATTGTTTTCTCTTAATGAATGAAAAGCTGTGGAAATTTTTGTTTCTGTAGCTGAGCAGTTTTAGATCTCAACACTTAAAAAACTCTCTTGCCTTTTCTGATTCGGCTAATTCCGCACGTATGCGGATCGCGCCCCTCGCGTCGGTTGGGCGGAAGGAGGATAATCGTTGGGTTATTATTATAATTATTTTGCGCACATTTTGTGATCGTTTTAGGTTTATATTCGTTACGGAATTTCTTGATTCGGTCGTCCCGCTGAAAGCCCGGGATAAAAGCTATGCAATAGCTTAATAATAATGTGCTGTCTTTTCAATTGATTTGTACCACTTGAGATATGTGAAAATACGTCTAAAAGTATGCGCAAAATGTGTGATCGTGTTAGTTTATTTCCGTTACGGAATTTCTTGACTCAGCCCCACGCTCAAAGTCCGCGAAAGAATCTATGCAATAGCTTAGAAAGAAAAAGAATTTGACAGCTATGAATCACATGAATAAACCTTACTACTTTGTTTTAATTTACATTGCAGTCATTTGCAGTCTTTGCCAATTTTCGATGTTTTACAGTAATTTCAAATTAAACAGAATCATAACGGATAGGTGGAATAGGCCTACTGGGGAAACCACGTTAAAAAAGTGCTAGGTACTACACTACCTCTCACAAGTTGTGATTCACAAAAAATCGCAAAAAAATCATATTTTTGACCTCTGAAAATTTATTTATAATTATATTTTAAACGATCTCACCAATTTTCAGCTTGTTTTGAATTTATGTAACTTCAAATGTCTAAATTTACCGGACAACTACCGTGTAACTCACTCTTGAGTTCGATCACTGGATTGTTAAATAAAAGTTCTACTTTAATGGCTATACACTTAAATATCTTTAATTCTAATTCCAACATCTTAATGTTTTATTACTCCTTATACGATCTTACAACTTCTAACTTATACCTCAATTGCACTTTACACGGCAACACTCTAACTAGAACTGTCTCTGCTGCACAACCTGCAGCCCTTATATAGTAAATCATTAACAAAACTTCGCCAATCGAAAATTCTGGCAACTACGAATTTCGCTGTCTAACTCTACTTTTACACACAGATTCTTTTGTAATCCAAACCGGTTTATTGAGGGCGAGGGGACGACGAGGAAAGACGAAGGGACCGTGCCACTCGTGTTCGGGTGGCACGCTCTGTGTTCTTGTTCCTAACAGCTTGCTGCTACCCCTTTCAGCATTCCTTTTCACTTTCAAATTCTTTGAATGGTTGCAAGAGCGCTCGGTTTCAAATGAATTCGTTCACAAATTTGAATTCTGTTATCTATTTTTATACCCTGAACAGGGTATATTAATTTTGCCACGAAGTTTGTAACACCCAGAAGGAAACGTCGGAGAGTATATACATATATAAATGATCACCGTAACGAGCTGAGTTGATTTAGCCATGTCCGTCTGTCTGTCCGTCCGTCCGTCTGTCCGTCTGTATATACGCGAACTAGTCCCTCAGTTTTTGAGATATCGATCTGAAATTTTGCACCTGTCCTTTTCTCCCCAAGAAGCTGCTCATTTGTCGAAACGGCCGATATCGGACCACTATAGCATATAGCTGCCATACAAACTGAACAATCGGAATCAAGTGTTTGTATGGGAAACTATTTCATTTGACGAGGTATCTTCACGAAATTTGGCACGGATTATTAGTTAAGGCAACAATGTAATCTCCGAAGAAATTATTCAGATCGGATGACTATAGCATATAGCTGCCATACAAACTAAACAATCGGAATGAAGTGCTTGTATGGAAAACTCTTTCATTTGACGAGGTATCTTCACGAAATTAGGCACGAGTTATTGCTTAAGGCAACAAATTATTCTCTACAGATATTGGTCAGATCAGATCACTATATCATATAGCTGCCATACAAATTGAACGTTCGGAATCAAGTTCTTGTAAAGGGCCTTTGTTTTTGTGAAGGGTATTATAGCTTCGGCGCAACCGAAGTTAACGTTTTTTCTTGTTTGTATGTAATATGCAAATATGTATGCATAGAATAATAGAAATATTTTGAAAAATTGTAAATAAGGAGAAAATTAAGATATAGATTATGGAGTTAGAAAATTATGAATTTTTAATACTTAAAGATTAGGAAATTATTGTTATAAATTTGGCCTTGAAAATACTAGTAGCGGATATTCAATACATTCTGGTGGAGTAGGGAATTCCCGTCTTAAGTATTTCTTTGAACCTATTAAGAGGGTAGGTATTATGCATATTGTTCTACCATATTCATGGTAATTCATTGCAAGCAAAATGTGTGACCATTATCTCAACATACAAATGAAATATGCAACACGCTCTAAGTGTTGCGCCGTCGAACCGCACAAATATTTACGAAAGTTTTGTGAAAAGGAATGCAAAAAAACTAGACTCAAGTTGCTGGACTCTTTTTGCCCGTATGAATGTACAGAGCGACACCAAAAGAGAATTTGAAAAATATGAGGGTCAAAAGAGTCCCAATGTAAAAGCCGTCTAATAAATTCTGGCAGTTTATCTTAGATTCTATTTTGTTCGGGCATCCGTGCTCGTCACCATATCAAAGTTTTGGAATTAAGTCTATATTAGTAATATTTAGTTTTATTTTGTGTCATGCCAATTAGTTATTTATTATAACAACAATACAAGTCTTAGATAATACTTAAAATTAAGGTCTAAAATTTGTGAACAATTGCATTTGTTTTGGCATCGATACACTTACCTAGAAATGCTTTAACATTTACGATTTCATATAAACCTACTTACATATATGTACATATAAATACTTTATAGCTATTGGGTTTGGACGCGAGGAATCCCCGCATTTGTTTAACTAGAACTACAACTAGCGTAGCTAAAATGTTATAATACCTCAAATATAGGGTCTAAAAGCCCCTTTCTTAACTGCTATAATCGACGAGAGGATTTTCGCGGGGCTTTAAATGCACCCATAAACCACCTGAGGCACGAAGTGTGATGCGAAATGTGGCATTGAAGGAGGTCTTGCCGGGCACTGGCAGCAGCTGATAACTTCTCAATAAACGCGAGACAACGGTTTTCATTTCCATAATGGCAAAGCGATTACCAATGCAGTAGCGGGGTCCCGCACTGAACGGTATGTAGGCATATGGGTGACGTGTTTCCATGTTTTGTGGTGAGAAGCGTTCGGGATCGAATTTCTCAGGGTCGGGGTAAATGTGTGGCAAACGATGGGTGGCATAAGGACAAATAAATATATTGCTACCAGCGGGAAGTGTATATTTTCCCAAATGCACTTCTTCGCCCAACTTACGTGCCATTAAAGGCACACTGGGGCATAAGCGCAAGGCCTCCTTAATACACATCTCCACGTAGCGCATATCTCGCAAATCATTCATAGTCGGTGCGCGCTGGTCGTCCATAAAAATATCGTTGATTTCCTCAACGCATTTCTCTTGACATTCGGGGTTTTGAGCGAGTAGGAAGAGTGTGAAGGCAACTGCAGCGCCAACGGAATCTTGCCCGGCAAGCATAAATGTGCAGGCCTCATCTACTATATCATCTTCGGTGAAATCCGCATTGTTATTCGATATTTCGATCATATAATCCAGTAGACACTTGCGTACGATAAAACTTCCACCTGCAATCATATCACGGCGGCGCTTGATCATTTTACGTGTAAATTGGTCGAGACGTTTCTTTTGGTCGAGTTCCTCTGACGCGATTTTTGTAAACTTGTAAACGCTCTCAAAGAGCAGCCACGGCTGCAAGAAACGTTCGTTGACTACCACTTTCCCTCTAAAAATTACAAGAAACTATATGAGAATAAGCGGGAAGAATTGGAATAATGAACTCACTGCCTGAATGGTGATTGCTCCATATCCACCAAAGCGCCTTGTCGCTTCACCGGTACACCCAGAACCGCTTCTGTTCAACGAAACATAACAAAAATTATTTGAAATTGTGGAGATTGGATTGAGTAACCGCACCATTTAAAATGTCTATGACACAATTGTTGATATATTTGGCGATATTAACTTCTTGATTGGCGGATACATGCAAATTCTCGAAAAGCGTTTGTGAGGCGTCCGCGAATGTGCCAATGAAGCGTTCCAGAATCGTCAAATGAAACATGGGTTGTATGAACTTTCGATGAGCGTTCCACTTTTCGCCACTACTCGTTATAAGTCCTTTCCCCAGGAAATTGTGCATCAGTCGGTAGATGAACACTTTCTCCGTGTGTTTTTTTGAAGAGAGTATGACTTGCAAATCATCTGGTTGCAGCACGGCAAAGAACGGGAAAAGTAGAACCCAAATACGTATTAGGGGACCATATAGACCAAAAGCTGTTGCCACGCGTTTCGCAAGCACTGAAAAAAATATTAAATGCAATCAATCTATTTGTACATTCTTATGACTAGGGATTAAATTGCTACTTACTGTCCTTTTCTTTTATGATCAAGCAATTGCCAAGTATGGGTAATGCTTCCGGTCCTGATAGTTTCAGTGAGAGCAACACTGATTTGATATAATCCCATAAACTATAGATGGACAGTGCGATGGCCAGTAGCGCTGCAAAACTCCATAACTCTGAGTGTGTGGCATGATCGAACTGAAAAAGCGATATAGAAGATTGTAATTAAGCTTTAAGAAACAAATTGTTGGCTCTTTAGTTGAGGGAAATTGGTCTCCGAATCTCGGAGTATTTTCGAACAAGTCGAGGGAGCTTTTAGGGAGGTCGATATTCAGTAAGCCATTTCTTTTAATATGGGAATGTCTTTTTGAGAAATATTTATGGAATTACTTACTACTTACTCAGACCAGATAGCCTTCCTGTCTAACACTTTTTCCTAATATTTTGTTTCTGGAAATAGGAACAATATCTGAATGCGGAAGATGTGAGTGACTGTCACCAAAAATTGTTAATCTCACACATTAGCATGAGGCGGTGACCGAATGACGGTGGCTTTATGATGTAAGTATTTTTAAATTACTCTAAACTAGACCAAATCCAGTTCTTAACATTGATAGAGAGTTCTGGTGAACTTTGCTTTCTAGGTATGCAAATGTACATGATTGAAAACAAACTTTCTGCTTGTTCTAAAATAATCACGTGCTTGGTCAGACGTAAGTATCGATAATTACGCAAACACTGAAAAATGAACTCATCATTTTTTTGATAAGCTATAATCACAGTTGTTCCTTTATTCCAAGCTATAATCACAGTTGTGCAGCGGTATGAAAAAAATACATCTACAGCAGTGTGGCAAGCACCACCTCAGTATTATTATGCCTTTCTTTTAGGCACACTTCAATCAAAAAATTATTAAATCTCACCTTATTTTAATTATATTGTTTATATATTTAAACATATGTACATTAGTAAAGGAAAACCAGTTAAAGTCAAATAAGTTGTATGGTATAACAAAAAGTTGCGTATACGACTTGTTGATCGGAAGAAATACCCATCTACACATTTCTATGTATGTACGTACATTTAAAGTAGTTGAGAAGTTGAAAAGTAATCGCAATAGATTATGTTGTATTTGAAAATAAAGTACACTATATACCAACTGATAAAATTTCAGTGCAAAAAAAAAGCACGTGATTAAATACAAATCTTTATTACCGCCTTCGAAGTGGGTTCTTTTTGTGTCAATACAAGCATGTCAAAGCTTAATCCAATTTTCCATACGCTTATGATGCTGAGAATTAAAGGCTGAGATGCCTGAATTGCTTTTATGGCTTCAATCGACTCATGGCGAATTCCCCAAGCGGATTATTCGGTTTCGAAAAACCACAAAAAAATTTGGTCAAAAAGTCAGTCCCAATCATGCTAGAATGTGACGACGCATTATTGTAGTGAAAAATCCATGTAATTTTTGACCACAAATCTGGTTCTTTACGACGAATTGCCAAATTGCCAAGTAGTATTCCTTAATGACTCGTTTGACCTGTGGAACGAGTTCGTGGTGAACCACATCATGGTAATGCAAGAAAACGATGAGACGGTTTTTCCGGTTTAGGCTTCTTTATTAACGTGACATGGTTCACCACGAACTCGTTCCCCAGGTCAAACGGTCAGATTCAGGTCTTTTGGTACGAATTTAGCATTGAGATGTTGAGATCCTTTGCTATCTCTCTGATGCCATCTTGATGATTTTCAAGCACTGTTTTTTTTAACTTTTTCGATGTTATCGTCACTAACAAAGGTGGTGGATGTCTAGCATGAGGCAAGTTTTCGATGATTTCACGACCTTGACTGAACGCTTTGTGCCACTCAAAAACTTGCGTTCGTAATAAAGTAGACTCCAGTTTCAGATCTAGTTTCCATGTAAACAGACGGACGGACAGGGCTAAATCAACTCAGCTCATCATGCTGATCATTTATGTATATATTTTATAGGACCTCCGACGTTCGAAAATTCGTAGTTCAAGTGCTACTTATATGGTCCACGATATAGTACCTCTTAATGGCTTAGATACGAATAGCCAAATAATTAACTTCAACCTCATCATTATCCTGGCAAATTAGTGATGAGAAAACATGTATCCAATTGGTTCAAGAGTATATCTCAACAGGACAAGGGAACTTTTAGCCTTACAGTAAGAGACAAAGAATCGGTTTCTACTATTTTAGGCTTTATTAAACATGTAACTAAGCGTATACAAATTGTTTCATCACTTTTTTATGAGCGCTTCTTGAGGCAACGGTGATTTTAGGAATCCGTGCTGTCTGAAACCAAATAATGGATGAATCAGACAGGGAAAACGTTTTTTTTACTATTCTACAAATTGAATATTATTTTTATTAATTATTATTGAGGTTGGCGAGATAACAAAAGAGTAAGATGCTTTACTGGGTTGTAGAAGCTTAAACGTCTGCGAACGAAGATGGCAGAAACATAAGACGCATACCAGTCTAAATATTTATATGTGTATGTGTTCAATATGTTCACATAACGCACTCAACCATCAAGTATAGTAAGTGTTAACAAATAATTCAAATAAAATAATGTATGCAGGTTTTCATATCAACGTTCATTTAAATTCGTAGAAATTTTCATGTGGAATGCGGGTGTTGGGCAAATTCATTATATCAAAGGGTATTTGCAACCGCTTACGATTTCAACTGTGTTGATTGATTTTCGACAAAATTTTAAATAAGTTAGATGTGTGAATATGTAGAGGCTTTTGAATTGTAATCAACCAAATTTTTGTGCTATGTGTGGAGAATATGTCAAAGACTACGGAGCTACTAAAGCTTTGGTAATATAATTATTCCCAGAACAGGGTATATTAAGTTTGCCACGCTGTTTGTAACACCCAGAAGGAAATTTCGCTGACCCAAAAACTATTTATAACAAGTAAGGAAGGGCTAAGTTCAGATGTAACCGAACATTTTATACTCTCGCAAAGTCAAATGGTATACTCGTTTGAGATTAATTTGTGGATCGACTGATATTTTTGGTAGAAGGTCAAATATAGGCACTGGGGTCCACATATTTAGTACTTAGGGGCTTGAACAGTTTTGATTCGATTTAGACAATTTTTGGTCACAAAATGGCATACGTTAAACGTATTATTCACGCCAAGTTTTACCCCGATATAATCATTGTTGCTTGATATGCAAAGTGGAAAGTGAAAGAATCAGATGGAATTGAAAATGGTGTTATATGGGAAATAGGCGTGGTTGTAGTCCGATTTCGCCCATTTTCGCACTATAACATAGAAATATGAAAAGAACGTTATGCACTGAATTTGGTTGAAATCGGTTAAGCACATCCCAAGATATGGGTTTTCCCCTAAAAGTGGGCGGTGCCACGCCCACTGACTAATTTTGAACGCTGTTCCTATAAAGTCATCTCATGCCATCCCATAGATAAAATTTAATGTCTCTGGCGTGTTTAGTGCTTGGTTTATCGCGCTTTTAGTATTTTTAACAGTGCCGTTATATGGGAAGTGGACGGGGTTGTCACCCGATTTTCACACTGTCGATAGAGGTGCCAAAAACATTTGTTATCAGTGAATTTTGTTATTATAGCTTTAGCGGTTTAGGAGATATGCACATTAAGGGCCCCACATTTAGGAGCAGGACCATGCCCACTTTTTAAAAAAAATTTAACTGCGAATGCCCCTCTCTAATGTGATCCTATGTACCAAATAAAAGTCTTGTATCTTATTGTGGAGCTTAGTTATGGCAATTTATTTGTTTTTGATTAATGGCGTTTTGTGGGCGTGGCAGTGGTCCGATTACGCCGATCTGCAATACCAACCGTCTTACGGTACCAAGAAACATGTGTACCAAGTTTCATGAAGACATCTCAATGTTTACTCAAGTTACAGCTTGCACGGACGGACGGACAGACGGACAGACAGTCACCCGGATTTCAACTCGTCTCTTCATCCTGATCATTTATATATAAATATATAACCCTATATCTAACTCGATTAGTTTTAGGTGATACAAACAACCGTTAGGTGAACAAAACTATTATACTCTGTAGCAACAAGTTGCGAGAGTATAAAAATTATCAGCATGGTGAACTGAGTTGATGTCCGTCTGTTCGTCTGTCTGTATATATGCGAACTAATCCCTTAATTTTTTAGTTATCGTTGTGTTCACGTCCTTTTCTCACAAAGAAGTTGGTCATTTGTCGGAACCGCGGATGTCGGATCACTTTAGCATATAGCTGCTATACAAACTGAACCATCAAAGTCAAGTTCTTGTATGAACCATTTTTAATTTGACGAGATATCTTCACAAATCTCCGAATCTATTGTTCAGATCGAACCATTGTAGCAAATAGCTAAAAATAATTTAAACTGGCCGATCAAAATGAAGTTCTTGTATGGAAACGTTTTTTGTGAAGGATATTATAGCGTTGGTACAACCGAAGTTAACGTTTATTCTGTTTCTTTTTTGTTTTTTTAATTTTGATGTTTCGTTGACAAGTGCTGATACTTACCTGGTATATGTAGCTTTAGCAAAATAAAAAGCAAGAAACTATATATTTTTTATTTATGCGCATTTATTAGAATTAGATACACATACATAGCTACACAGTACGTACGTGTTTTGATGCGGCACTTTTGTAGGTAAAAAAACCAAACGTAAACACTTGAGTTCGTAAAGGAAATCAATTTTAAAAATGTGTGTGTTTTCAGTTAGCTAATGGAAATAAACAATACGACTCGATAACTATCAAGACATGCTCGATAACTATCAAGACTCGATAACTATCAAGACATGTTCGTGCGGACAACTATAAATGTATAACGATTTGTTATTTATCTAATTTAGTTTGTTGTTTTCGACTCATTTTAGACGTTTGGAATTTCAAACAATATACATACATATGCGCGTATATGTATATGTGTGCGTTCATTTTAAACCCTTGACATTTAACCGCAAATGAGTTTTACAAAGTTGTCAAACATTTAGGCAAGAAACTAATGGCGTTGAGTTTAAAACTTCCTAAGAACTAGCTAAACTACATACTTACATACATATGTACATACATATTTGACATTCAGTAATATGTAGATTATGTAGGTGCTAAAGAAAAAAGGAATACTTCGTCTTTCTTCCTTTTCAAAAGAAAACATATT